CAGGTCACTAGGAAATATCAAAACGTCGTGAAGTAACTTGTCTTGAAATCTTTCAATTGTTTGATTTTCATTTCATCTCAATAATTTTTAATTTTCATCTCGTGTTAATAGTCAGATTTTTGGGTTTTTTGATTGTTGCTTGTATTTTATTTCATTGTAATTTCAGTTTTTTTTTCCTTAATATAATTGTTCTTTTTCAGCTAATCTTTTTAATTTTCATAGATTTTTTCAGGGATTTCAAATCAATTTATATTATATTGGACAATGCAAGTCCGAACTAACGATATATGGATGACAAAGTTGCTCAAATAGATCAAATTATGTCATATCCGATATCACCGCCTCTACGCTGAAATGCGGACTCATTTGTAACTTCTTACAAATGTCGATTCTTGTAATTGGTATTGTGCCCTCAAAATGAATTTGAATCTTAAACAATGAATCAAATCTAAAATAAAATACTTTGTACGTTCAATGTTTTATAAGCGTATTTTAGTAACTTCTGATTAGGCTTCAACCCTGTTTGTTTCTTATTGGATAAATAAATGAATACGAACGTATTATTGGTGTGTGATTCTTTGGAAGCAACACATTTTCATTTTAGGCCTGTTATGACGAGGTGGTGATGGGAACTGAGAAGTTTTTTCACCAATGTTTAGGTGATAGGAACTTGATGCTGTGAAATTCTTCGAAGGTTATTTCAAGTTTTTTCCGAAATTATATAGGATTTCACACCATTGCTAATGATGTATTTATGGTCTATACTAGTATACTCTTGAGTAAGATGTTGCATTTTTGAATATTCAAATACGATTTGTCCCTCAAACACCAATCATGAACCAATTCAATATCGGAATGCTTGTGTTGACATTCTGGAATAGATTTGATTCCAGTGTAAAATTTTGAATCATCAACAGAAAAATAATTTCGGAACATTTATGGTTTGACATAGATCGTTTGTGAAAATTGCGAATAACAAGAGACCTGAGTTATAACCATGTGGCAACAATTGAGCTAACTGAATAACTAGGAAATTTGAGTGACTTGTATTCAACAAACAGTTTTCTATCAAACAGATATGACTCGAAAAGTGAAGTAGGAATCTGTGAGATTCATCTCCTTCAATTTTGCCAGAAAAAAAAAGATCTCTCTGATTGAAGGCTTTCTGGAAATCCATATAAATTACATCGGCTTGATCTGTGTTTTTAAATACATATATGTTCATATGGAGGTTTTTTCTCCAAAGTAGATTCAAAGTATCCTCTTGATCAACACCATGTTATCAAGTTATCCTCTCTATATGCCTAATTTTTGATTTTCATTTTACCGTATGACTAACGGCAGGTTTACAGAAAACGGTCCAAGCGAAGCTCTCTGGCTTACAGAGACAGGCTTGTCTGGCTATCAGTGGTGCCATCAGTACCACACCGTCAGCGGCCATGGAGATCATTCTAGATCTACCTCCTCTCCACATTTTTCTGGAAAAAGAGGCTAGATGGACTGCATACAGACTTGTGCACATTGCCAATTGCACAAATCAATTCAATGTAGAGTGCAACAGACTGTTGGTTGACATTGGAAGTCACAGCATTCTGGAAATGACCTCTGACTTTATGCCTCCAACTGTCAACTACGAACTGCCTTATAAAGTACTATTCCCGAGAAGAGAGGACTGGATCCTGCGGGAGAAGGAAATATTAAGAATAGTTGTTGGTTCACAGATGGATCCAAAACACCTTTCGGTTCTGTTGCAGGTGTTTTCAGTCGCAGACCCAGGACAGAGTTATCTACCTGCCTAGGAACTTATGCGACTGTATTACAAGCGGAAATTTATGCTATTGAATTGTGTGCGGAGAGATTGGGTAAATCCAACCTCACTCACAAGTCAATAAAAATATTATCGGACAGTCAAGCGGAGTTGGAAGCTCTTGTCTCCTACCAAGCAACGTCTAAATTGGTAGCAAACTGCTAAAAAAGACTCTTCTCGATAGGAAGACTAAACAGAGTGTCTCTGGTCTGGATCCCTGGCCATACTGGCCTTGAAGGCAGTGAAGCTGCTGACTCTCTTGCAAAGGAGGGTGCTGCAAGCGGCTTCATTGGACCAGAACCTGTCATTGGCATCGCTTTTGGCTTTGCCAAACAAACACTGAACACCTGGATGGCAAGAAGAGTAATGGACTTCTGGCAGAATCTTCCAGGATTGGCTCAC